TTCACAAAATTTTGTCTTCATGGGACCACCTATTCTTTATCTTAAACCGTAAAAATAAGTCAATCAATTTTTCAATTCAACGCTGTATATCTATAGTTTCGGTGCCAGGTCGGGTCTTTTTCGTGTATTTTTGTCTGCTGAACACGATTATCGATGGTGGATCGCGATCCGGATGGACAATTTTTTTTTATTAACAAATTTCATAAACAAATATAAATTTTTGATTTATTGCGTAAAAATTTTTTTTCTAATTCTTCAGCTCATTTTGAACAAAAGTCTGTATACAGTATATACCTAAACTCAATACTGTTGTCGTAAAAAATTCAAAAAAATGCGTTTTTTGCTAATTTTAATGGCTTGCTATGGGAAGCCCGATTAATATTTTTAAACTCAACGCCTCTCAAATTGTGTGCCCAACGTAGTATTGAAGTAATACCTAAAGATCAATTGATTTTATTTTGTTGGTTTTATTCAGCAAGCTCGACGGTCCGTGCCTTTTTAATGTAACCGTACGGCTTCAGCGCTATGTATATTATGCTGTTATTAAATGTTGTCTATCTGGACAGCTTTATGCAGATTATTTTTTCATGTTTTACCTGCTTAATACCATTATAGATTGTAAAAAGAAAAACACATGTAAAAATAAGTACGATAGTGAAAAATAAATTAAGGTAAATGTCCCTATTCGTGGAATGTGTCCCTATTCATGGAATATGAAAATTCATGTATTTGTTATACAACTAACTTGATTAAAAAAATTGTGTTAGTTGCATATTGTATGTATCTTTATGAATCCACAAGAAAAATTTTATTTTTGGTACAATAAATGATCAATTTTAAAGATGATTCCATAATTCCATAAATAGGGACAAAGTCGTACATAACCTATCTTTTGAACTGTATGTGTTATGGCACCAAACTTCAACGAGGAATTTATATACTTCTTGTCAACAAATAAACGATATAATTATTTTTGTGAAATAAAATAGTGTCATGCAAATGAAAAAGCTTTAATTGTCTGAAAATATCATACTAAATTCACGTTTTTTAAAAAGTTTCATAAATAGGGACATAAAATGAAACAATAGGTACAACGTTTTATAATTATGTACATTTTGGTCTTATAATCTTTTTACAAAACAAAGTATTTTAACAACTAAGAACCATACTTAAAAATTAGAATGATAATGATAAATTTATAGCGCACTAGCTAATACCAAAATTTCTATTGTTAAAGCTCACAGTTAGAAAAAAAAAATTAAAGAAGTGTGATGAAATTTATGGTTATAATAGGGACATTTACCTTAACAATAATTGTCACACCGTGAGATATGTATATATGTACAAGATTAACAAGACCATAAAATATATTTGGAGTGGACGTGTTGTATTTTCTTAAATTTCATTCTACACACCTTGATAAAATCGAAAACTATTGATTACAGGCTAATGCTAAATTATTGACAAGAAGAAACCAATTACTCAGTTATACATATACTACCGTAAACTAGAGAGTTAAATACTTTTTCGTAATCATAAGAAAATGAATGGCATTTAAGGTACTTGTAGAGTAAATATAGACAAAGCGAAAGACGCTTGAAGAATGTACCTATGGTGGCTAACAAATTTTTTAAGGCCATTTTTCGAAAGGACCTTTTCTTGGTTTTTGCTGCGGTTCGCGAAAAGTTTAAAACCGATTAAGCTGAAATTTAGTGTGTATGATAAGGGCTATGATATTGGTTTTGTGTTAATATTTCAGCTCTAAATATTGTATAGAATGCGAGTTATTGAATTTCGAGGAAATGGCTCAAAATTGCAGTTTTTTGCAATTTGCGGAAAAATGGCTTAACTGATCTGAACCCAACGCGGCTTATTTTGTTCGTCTTGAAATTGCACATTTTTTTCACGCAACACTTTTTTATGTACGATTCTTCGGTTTTTTTCTAGACGAGAAAAACATGTTTTGGCCATTTTTGATATTTTTTTTGGGGCTTTTGCTGATACTTCTACTTGATAAATTCTGTTTCAATTTATTATAATACATTCAAACTACTACCCTATTTTTTCTGGAGATAGTTAAAATTTTCTGGGCCGAAAAACTATTTCTACCGTACTCTCCGGTGTTATCGACCGAGTACGGTTAAACTACAAGTGCTCTTAAAATTAACCATATCTTGGGAACGAATAACCAACTTCCACACTGCAAAAAAATTTGATACCTTTGTTAATTATAGAATAAGTATTAAAGAATATAATCCGGCAAAAAAATTGCATCTAACCTTGTAAACAACTTTTTTTAGGCCCTTTTGACAAAGTACTTTTTTTTTGCATTTAGCTGCGGTTTGCAAAAACTATCGATCCGATCTTGCTGAAATTTGGTGCGGTTGTTAAAGACTACTAAAGCTACAACTCTGCCAAATTTCAGCTCTTGATGTTTATGCGAAAGAGAGTTTTTAATTTTTTAATAGTGGCTTAGAAAACAATGTTTTTTGTATTTTGCGGGGAAACCACTGGACCAATTGGGATCGACCGGAGCTTATTTTGTTCGTCTTTTTGTCACGCATACTCCTGTATTTTTATTCTTTATTTTAAGGCTTATTGTTCATTTTTGACGCTAACAACCGTGTTTCACCATTTTTGCCATTATTTTTTAAGCCTTACACGGAGAAATTCTGTCACAGCTAAAGGCGGTGCAGTGCTGCAGGCGAAAACAGCGTGCGTGGTGGGAGAGCAAAACAACGTGCGCAGACAGCAAAAAAAAATGGGACGAACGTGCACGTCATTTCGAGCTGCAGATGCACGCTTTTTTCCCGTGCAAGCCAGTGGAATTTCGACTGAGTGGCTCCAGTATAATTCGACACTTTTTTATTAATGCCTAACTATGTAACTTATATGAATGTATGCGTATAAGTTACATAGATAAATTAGCATTTATAATAAAAAAGCATTAATAAATAAGTGTCGAACTAGACTGGAGCCGCTCAGTCGAAGTTCCAGTGGCTTGCACGGGAAAAGAGCGTGCATCTGCAGCTCGAAATCACGTGCACGTTCGCACCGTTTTTTTTGCTGTCTGCGCACGTTGTTTTGTGCTCCCACCAAGCACACTGTTTTCGCCAGCAGCACTGCACCGACTTTAGCTGTGACAGAATTTCTCCGTGTAGCGGAAAATATTGTTTGTTCGATTTTATTACAATCTATTGGCATTGTTTAATTCTCTACAACATATTTTTTTAGTCTGAATTCCATTAAAAATTATCGACATTTCAGCTAATTCGATCACACTATTAAAAAACTATATTTTTGGAATGAAATCAAGTGAAAGTGTACTGTGATCTGAATGACGAGAAAATTTAAAAACTTCAATTCTGATGTGTGCCATAAAATTAAATATATTTGCATAATGTTTATGATTTTAATAAATTTTTTCAGAATTGACGATTTTAAAAAGGGGCGGTCTCGTAATGTTTGTTTTGTCTGCTCTAACCTCAGAAACAGAAATGTAGCCGTGATAAAACACTACTTGTTTTCTACTTATAAAAATTGCGTCTGTATTATTTATTTACCGAACTATTTGTAATTCAGTAAAATTGAAAAGTGAATACAATTTATAATGTCGGGTAGTTTAAAAAAAAAAAAAAAAAAAAAAAAAAAAAAAAAAATCAACTACAACATCGCTCTGAATGCCCCACTCAAAGCACTTTGATTGTCCCACTTTTTACAATCTGGCAGTCACGTCAGTTTTACATTAAAAAAAAAAAAATATTTGTAGATATCATATACTTTTTTCTTAAATTTTAAGTAATAATGTTTCAAAGACAAGACTACGAAAAAGCGCTGTGGTTGCCCCACCCTACTCTACTTGTACACATGTATATAGATATGCGGTCGGTAATTCTGGTGTCTTTACAGTTGGTTACCGTGCTAGCCACTGAATTAATACAGCTCAAAGAATCGTGGGTTCGATTCTCGGTCGGGGTACTCAAATTTTTTCTGATGGTTCTATTCGAGTATTTGAATCTATAACGCCGACAGATGAAATGAGACTTTAAGTATACAGATATACAAGTGCATGGGATGACGCAAAGCTATGCAACGTGACCATTCAAAAATTTATTTATTTATTCTGTAATTTCCTAACATTTCTTTTCTTTGAGAACAAATGCTTTAAAAACACACACTTCGCCTCCGTCCTTTCTTATGTGGCTAAATAGTCAACTATAACCAGAAAGTCTTATGTTTTTTTATCTAAATACTCGATATTGCTTTGCATGGCATCAAAATTTCAAACAGACATATCTGAGCTTCAGAGCGATGAGTATCAGCAAATGAAAAAAATACAATAAAATAAAATTATCGCGTACGCGACTACAATTCATTAGCGGACTCAACAAAGTTTTCGAAGAGAGACACAGAAAGGAGAACTAAGATTTTTGGAGAGAGAGCTTGTAATGTATGCGAAAAAGTTTTTGTGTGCACGCTCTTGGGTGTAAAGGTAACTCAAAAATTAAAAATCTTAACGTAAGTGGGCCATTATACAAAAACTGAGATATTCCATGAAGCCCATGTTTAAAAACGACGAATTGAATTATTTCAAGTTGAAACTTATTTTTAAAAGGTGTGAATTAATTTTTTCGAAATATATTGTCGAGGTCCAGTCGACAATTTTTTGTACATGGCCATAAGATTAAAAAATATTAGCCAGAATGTCACAACCACAAGGTAAAGCATTTGAACATTTTATTTTTCGTGGCTTCTGATGTCTAGACATTAATTTTTATATCACTGTATACTATCTAACAATTTTAGGTATTGAGCATTTTTTTTATAGATTAGAACCAAAAAACTGTTTTTTTATAAGTACGGACGTTTAATCTGTGAAGTCTATTTTTGCCACTTTTGAATTACGCGCCGCAAAAAAATCTTGATTAAGGCACGAAAATATAGTAGTTTTTGTGAAATGACCCATATCTATTAACTGCTATTCGAAGATAAATTTATACCTTAGATGCATCTACTTTATCATACAGTTTAAGCACTAAGAGGACTCGATCTTGAATGAATTTAACTGTTAGTGGTGGTTTTTCGCTGTATTGGCGCATCTGCTTGAGCCATGGGACTGCAGATTTCTGAAAAATACAAACTTTGTTAACCTTATATGCTGTTACTTTGTCATAGGCTGCAATGATTTCTAATACGCGCTTTTGGACTTCCTTCAATGTAAGATTTTCTTGATTAACTTGACAATACCCTCGAACTGCTTGACTATTCATCTGCTCTTTCCAATCAAGAATCACAGCTGGTTAAAAATTTATTTAAACGAAATAGGATGAATGACTAAATAACAATTTGCGAATATAAAATGTATCCTGTAGGACTCAAGTTTTGGAAATATGAGAGTAAAAGTTTTCAAGTAAAGACAGTTCAAAACAATTGCTTTAACAATATTGTAATTCTGAAATGCTGACACTGTAGTAAACAACTATGTGATCAGCAGAGGGTCCGAAATATTGACAAACTTCATTTTTGTCGTGAAACTATGAATATTTCATTTATTTATTCCAGTGACATAAATTTTGATAACAGTGACAGCTTAGCATAACGACTGTTTAATAATTATAAAAGCTTAAGAGGTGCTCCTAATTGTCTAAAATTGCTAAGCTTACATCAGCCAACCATGAAATTTTTAATAACGTTTCAAAGTTTCACTTTAAAAAATTAATTAACTTAAAGAACAATTATTTTGATAGTGTGTAGCCTATGTCATAGATTTATAATATTTGTAGTTGAGCCTTCACTAATGAATTTATCTATCTTAAATTTGAATGTCTCGGAATATTAACTAACTAATAGAACTAACGGATATTTTTTCTATGAATGTATTACTCCTTAAGCGACTAGCTAAACTATTCTTTTTTGCTTATGATTTGGATTAATTTCTCTATAGTTAACAAAATTGTTGAAACCATTAAATTGTGTTATATTGCAATGTCTTTGAGTTTATTACTTGTGTTGACAATGATGCACTATCATATGATTGTTATTATCAAACCAGTGTTAATAAATATTGTAATGGGCATCTGCCTATCTATCGTACAGATGAATAAATAAATAAATTATTTTAACAATCAATCACGCGGTTGTTCACTTCAACTCTATTTCTACCATGTTATTAGCTGTCAAAATAACGAAGAGTCATTGCACTAAACTGTCGTTCTTGTCGAAATCAACATTACTGGAATAAACATTTATAATTTTACTACAAAATTTAAATCCACTGTCAAAGTTTTGAACCCCCTTCCAACAACACTTTAACACTTTAATAGGGCAGACTGTCGATATTATTTTTTTTTTTTTTTCTTAAATATTGATTGTACAATAAATAACGTGTTAAAATTATAATCAGTGTTATGAAAATGTTACATAACACTATGATTCTGTACCTTTTGTCCATTGAACACACTCAAGTAATAAATTGTATGGCAACTTCGTAAATTTTCCAGTTTCACTTAATGGCCTTCTTATGAAAACAATTTGAAAAAGTGTGAAGATATTAAAACTAATGCTTTATTAAATCATGGACATTATGGTCCACAGTAAAGAAGTATAATAGATATTCAACAAACTACTTCATGATCATGCTTATTTTCATAAGAATATATAAAATCAGTTTCTAATTTTGTTATTTCAAATTTATTCCAAAACTTAAGTTTAATGTTAACATTTGTATCAAAAACCAACCAAATATGTAACATAAAAAATAAAAGTAATGCACATGTACCAAAGAACAGGAGCCTAATTCACATTCTTTGTACTTGGCAAGGTTGCCAATATCAGTTTAACCGGGGAAAATGTCTACATCTATGCTTTTCCAGCACTACGCAGGTAGGTGAAGATTGTGAATTAGAATTTTGAGGAAAACCAAAAGGTACGAGTTAGCTGAAACACGAATGTAATTAAGGAAATAATTAAATTTAAATATTCAAAAAATTTTTGTTTCTGTTACATTTTAAAGTCTAGTGAGATTTTTTAAAACTATTTGTAGTTGTTTTGATGTTGATTATTAATATTTGGTAATACTTTTATTCCAGTAGTTTCAGCTTGCTTACTTAAATCTACAAGAAATCTATTACTGTACGTGTTTTTAATAACTTTATCAATTACTTAAACTGTTACTTATAATGTCAATATCAAGTGACTTAAAGAAAAGAGCCTGCTAAACGAGTGTAAGCAGTCTAGCTTTTCGTCAGATACCGGTCCTCGTGTTCATACTTAATTGATAAAAGTTACATAACCGTACGAATTGAGAATTGGCTACAGAAGTTCCATTTACGTGGTACAAGTAGCTCCATTTAAAATGAGAGGACAGCTTGCTCATACCTTTTGACTGCCCTTGCAAAATACTATGTACTATTGCTTGTGAACGCTGGTTTACCTGACGGACGGCGGGGTTTGCCCATCGTCTTATCAAATGGAGCCTCTGGCTCAGCTGAGGTGCTGGCATTGACTTCAATACAGTTAGTCGACTTGCACTCTTGCCCCACAACAAACTTTGTTTAAAAATACGGATAGCTGCAATCGACGCCATTCAATAACTTCAGAATACGCCAATTGGTCAGGTCACGTTCGTAAAATAAAGCAGTTTCGCTTATTCGCCTTACCTTGTAATTATGGAGGTGCAGATTTTTTTTCCTCTCATCATAGATAAAAAATTTCACTTGTTATGACCTGACCTTAAAGCATGTACTCCAGAAGAAAGCATAGACCAAGAGCTGAGGCATTAAGGTAGTCAAATATCTAAACCAGCCACAACCATCATCAGTACCTACTGGAAAACCGTAAGATTCTTGGAGATCCAAAATGTTTTTGCCGTATTTTTACATCATGTTTGGAACATTCCGTTGGAAAAGTTCCAGAGCCAATCAGAGCAGCTCTGCAACAAGGCTCTGTTCGGAAATAATTGGAGCTATTGGAGCTATTCACATAGACATTTTTTGCTTATTTCATTGCGGAGCTATTCACATAGACATTTTTTGCTTATTTCATTGTGAACGTTCATATTAAAGAGGGGGTTCCACTGTTCCGCTAAACTCAAATTGAGTGAACAGACTGAGCAGACCTATACTGTGGTCTCCATAGAGATATAAGCAAAGAGTGAACAAGGGGTACATCTGCCAGTGAGTGGAAGCGATAAAGGCAAAGAGAGAGATAAATTCCCGAGAGATCCTTCTATCTCTGTCTTACTGAACTGTGATTAGCTCTTGTAGGATGGGCGTGTCACACACTACACATACACTTCGTATCCCCAGCCAATCACAGTGCTTGGCTAGAAAGAGACAAAGGGAGCTATCGGGCATCTATCTCTCTCTTTGCCTTAATCGCTTCCACTCACAGGCAGATGTACCCCTGGTTCACTTTTTGCTTATATCTCTATGGTTCACTCACTTTGAGTTTAGCGGAATAGTGGAACCCCCTTTATCAATATGAACGTTCACAATAAAATAAGCAAAAAATGTCTATGTGAATAGCTCCAATGTGTTGGTTAAGCATGAAGTTGGTACCTACCCCCACGGCGGCTTAACTAACGGACCCACTAACGCCTATGTTTATTAGTGAAATATTAATTAAACACATAAGCGCCTATCACCCAATGATCCAGGGCGTTTACTGGCCACTGTGTTAGGCTTCAGTCACATGGAGCGCAATAGAGCAAACTGGATAGGAATTTCTTTATAAGCGGCTGTGTTAAGTCTATTGCGCCGCGCAATAGGGCTATCCTGCAGTGCAATAGACTTAACACAGCCGCTTATGAAGAAATTCCTATCCTGCTCGCTCAATTGCGCTCCATGTGACTGCAGCCTTACTTAATGAAATTGTAATATATGCGTGAGTTGGCAGAGCGAGCACCACTCTATGATTTCGTGTGTTGTTGGATACACGTGTCCACTAAATAGACCGATAGAAAATCCCCTGAAATAAAAAGTTGATGCTCGAAGGGTCGTTTTTGATATTATACGTAATTCAATGCGTAGATTACGATAAAAATACTTAGAACATTGAAAACTCTCTTGGGAGCCGTAAAAACAACGTTTAAAACTTATTTTGCTAATATCTCGTAAACGGTAGAAGATCGAACGAAAATAAAAATACCAGCGTGTAGAGCGGAAAATTTCCTACCGATTTGGTATTTTACTTTTGTTCAGTCTCGCTGAAAACTTCGAGGTAAAAATTATTGAAGGTATTTTTTCCTCAATGCCATAGGAGAAAGTGAGACAGGAGATACACTGTGTGTCGAAGCCGATCAGCCGGAGAGCGGAGAGTCGTGGAGAAGGGGGAGAGGATCAGAGCTATATAGCTATAGCTATATATGTATGCTTGAGGCGTTTTTAGATCGACTGACGGCCGAAATTTGATTTTTGGCTTTTCAGTCAGAAAATTTCNCTCTCGCGCTGCTTAGTACTACCTCGCAATTCGCTGCGACTTGCGTGCTCATCTAAGTCATCTTGTCATCCCTCTCGCACTCGGGTATGCCTCGAGATACGCCGCGACTCGCGCGCTTTCTCGTATGCACTCGCACATGCTAGGCAGTTCCCTCGTATCTGCTCGAGCACTCGCGCACACCTGGCGATTCCCTCGTGCATTCCAGGATTCAAGCGGACTTGGCGATATATCGTGCTGTACCTCGTACTACCCCGTGCTACCTCACGTTTTCTCGTACGGCCTCATGCTTACTCGCGATATTCAGTGATACCGCAGCTTGTCTCGCACTACTTTTTGCTGCCTTCTCTGTGCTAGAGACGTACATACGTGTACATTTGATTGAGCTTTCGAGAAGTTTTTTTTGTTAGTTTTGGAAAGGTTAGCGTCTTTTGAAAAAACCATTTAAGTCACTTTGCCCTGCTAGCCGTACGTGTAGGCCCTGCTGTATTGCTGTTATCTGCGAACGCACTTTACCAGCTCTGCTTTTTTTGTCCGTCCTGCGGCTTTTGACATTTGTCTGCTTGTATTGTATATGATGCTGTCGCTGGCTCTATTGGTTTTGTTGACATTGTTGTCTGCGCTGCGTCACCAGGTCTGCTGACCACAACCGTTGTTCTCCTCCTGCTCTACCATGCCGGTTATGGACGTTTCGTAAGAAATCGACCTAGTAAACATTTTTGTGATACCTGTTTGCAGAACTAGTTTGCCAATCTGATTGATCCGAGCACTAATCTGCATCCTACAGGAGTGGGCTTTGGGCAAGCTTCGTTTGTTATAGGTTAGATAGATATTTAGCATAGATATTTTTTGTAATATTTGAAAATAATATCATTTAATGGGTCACTTATTATTATTTGTCCAATATTCTATGTTAAACAGTTTTATATTTTGAAAACCAGACATGGATCTTCCAAATAATGCTGCATTATCGGCACTGCAGAAAGTTCATGAAATTAATCAAGGTAGAAGATATTTCGGAGAGTACCATCACTTATTTCCTCTTTTAAAAAAGCATGAGGGTCGATTTTTTTAATATTTGCGAATGTCAACAAGCTGTTTCGATTACATCCGATTGAGCATAGAAAGAGAATGCTCACGTAACTGGTGTAATTTTCACACTCAGCCTATTTTACCAGAAGAAAAACTTGTTGTAACATTACGGTAGAGCAGTTAATTTATGTTCTATTGAAATAAACATGCAGATTAAATCCCAAAAATACACATGTTTTTTTTAAGGTTTTTGATAACAGGAGCCTCTTACAAGTCACTGTCTTTAGCATTCCGAATAGGGGCTTCGACAATAAGCAATATTGTCCGAGAAACAATGGACAGCATTTGGAATGTCTTGTGTCCAATCCACATGCCAATACCAACAAAAACACAGTTTATTAAAATTGCTGAACAGTTTTACCAAAAACGAAGTTTTCCACACTGTTTGGGAGCACTGGACGCAAAGCACATCCGAATAAAATGTCCGCCACATTCTGGTTCTGTATATTACAACTACAAGAAGTTTTACTCGGTCGTTCTGCAAGCCGTAGTTGACGCGGATTACAAATTCATAATTATAGATGTTGGAGGCTATGGACAGCAGCATGACAGTTCTACTTTTAGGGCATCTAGCCTGTACAGGGGATTGAAATCTAAAAAGTTAAAAATACCCGAAGATACAGAGCTACCTGGATCGACAGTTATTTTGCCATTCGTGTTCATCGCTGATGGCGCATACCCACTGATGAAACATATAATCAAGCCCTATCCTGGTCATAATTTACCAAGAGAAAAAATAATTTTTAATAAGAAGCTATCTGCTGCAAGAATGGTTGTAGAGTGTGCCTTCGGTCAATTGGCCAAGAAATTTTCCATTTTCAACAAAACTATAGAGCAATCGCCTAAATTTGTAAATAATATCGTTAAATGCGCGTGTTTGTTGCATAATATAATCTTAGAAAAATGTAATATCATCGAATCTGAAAGAGAAGAGCCTTCATCAGCATCCAAAATTGATAATATAAAAGAAAATACTGAGGCCATTGAAGCTCTAGGTAGTGAAGTACGACAAGAATTTATGCAGTATTTTGTACATAAAATTTGTTAATTGTAAACCTTTGGAATAATAAATATAGACGCTTTGAATTCTGTAATTAAAGTTCATGAAATTAATACCTGGTAAAATGACTTTGTTAATATTACATAATTTGATTTATTCTCAAGCCTAAAAATATATTTTCTTATTAAAAAGCTGGCATTTGAAAGCTACATGGGCTGAGAAGCAACTTTTTATAAGTAAAGTACGTATTTCAACACACATTTGGTAGTTATAATATTTGCTGATTTAACGATTTGCTCACAACTTGTGTTACTAAATATAGTCACCGCAACATTGAGTTATATCAGAAAGATGTAATTAAAATTTATAGTTAAACACTTGGCGTTCAAGGTCAACTCAGACCGCAAATTTGATACTTTGTCAATTTGTAGTATACACGTAGATGATTGAGTCGAATATCATTTTGTAGTGATTCAACCAAGTATCACGTTTTTTTATATGTTAAATGAAAAATACTTCTCCAACAATGATGAGAATTGAGAAACAATTCGTCGAGAAACAGCAATTCACCATAGCATCAAGTGATTGATCATTCGAAGGCTCATATTCACCTTTCTCACATTTTTCATTTTAGGTAATTACATTTATATAAGAATTTTGGTAATATTAAGTATAAACGAACATTTTGCAATAAAAAACTATCTTTTTATTATTAACATGTGTATTTACAGTATGACTCATCTTTAAGTATTAAGCATAATACATGAGTATATACAGACTAATTTTTATATAAGTTATCTTTATACAACTTATAAGCAACGTTTATACTATTAATTAAGTTTAAAAAACCAAAATCTTGTTTATAAAAGCATAAGAATAACTTAAATAATTACATTAAATTAATGAATTGTCAAGAGAGATTATACGTTTTGAACGAGAATATAGTATTTCACACCTGTCGATCAAGGAAGATATGTTTATACTGAAAGGGGCCATGCATAACTTGTTCTTTACACCCTTGAAAGGAAAAACAGGAGTGCTGATTTCATTAGAATATCACTTTCAAGCAACATCTGTTTTTGTACAGTGTCTTAATCCATCAGAAAAATATTCCATTTCTGTCGATCCGTCTTTGCATACTTTGACTCGAAATTAACCAAGTTTGGTCCACTTAGATCTCTCAAGACCATTATTATTATTATTATTATTATTATTATTATTATTATTATTATTATTATTTTCATTTCATATTTAACAAATGTAACTTTGAAGCTCGCTTAATTGGCATGGTCACGAGACATTTTTTGTGAGAAGACACAGTTTTTTACAGCAGTCAAGGCAGAAAAAAATGTTTTGGCTGAAATTCACCAAAGCTTTAATGCAATTTAAAGTATATCTTTGAATTGTTGAAAACGAAGAGCGGAGCGAATTAGCATTTGCACATTTTTTTTTTTTTTTTAATAAATACCTACTTATGTAGTGTACTTATTTGAAAGCTTTATTAAGTCCTTAAATGCTTTTATAGCTACAAGAATACTACATTTTGAAATACATTGAGTTGAGGGTACTGTGGGTTAGAACTTATAACTAATCCTTAATCTTAAGTTGGTGTCATAAATTAGATCCCGGAAAAGACCATCAGAAAAAATCTGAGTGCCCCAACTGATAATCGAACCCACGACTCCTTTAGTTGCACATTTTTGAAAAAGAACAGAAGAATCACGTCTTGTTCCTAACATGTATATACTTTTTTTTTTTTATATTATAGTGCTTTACCTTTACGTCCGACTCCTATAAAGGGCACTACACAGGGCACTTAGCACTTGGGAGAAAGAAGGAAGGGAAGGGGGATAGGAGGCCTCACATTACTGGGAGGGGAGTAGGGGGAATTAGGCAATTTTTGCTACGAGGAAGTCGCCTAAGCTCGAGGAGTATTGCGTAGTGAAAAAGCACATGTGAAAATTCACAGAGGTACTTGCCCGAAAAGTCGCACTGGCTGGGAATCGAACCTCGGTCTCCCGCGTCCCAATCCACGACCTAGCCGACTGAGCCACCGCGCGCTCATAAATAATATACATATACAATAGCTGACTGGCTGCACAAGCAAACTGCTCGGCTGACCTACATACATAATTATATTAGGGGTACAGTAGTACAGCACGTATATACTGTTTACTGTATGCCGCGGGCACAGCATCAGCTGTCATTAGGTAAAGTAAAGGTACTACTTTGGAAAGGTTTTTGTCAAGTATTTTCTTACGATTTTTAGAAAAAAAAAACAATATTAACTTATTTCGCATAAATTTTGTTTCTTCTGAAGCGTTTCATCTTAATCTTTAGTATTTTAAATTCTTAATCCGTTTATGTTATTAAATTTATTTATTGATAAAACTTCAATGACAAATTGTGTCCGTCAAATGAAACATCTCTAAAATTTATGTCCTACTTTTGAAACAGAATGTCCCCTGTATGGAAGACACATGTGTTTTATATGCACTCAGTGTGTTTCATACGAGGGACATCATGTGATGGAGGTTATGTTCTGATATATCCCGGTCTGAAACAGCACCTTACGATTTTTTTTCCAGAAAATAAAACAAATACAAATTCTAACGATTTAAAGAAGTTGACACTTAAAAATTATATGGAAATAGTTTCTTCGTAAACAATCATCTATAACTATATTCATATCTTAACGTTTCATGTAGGAGCCAAAATTTTTTTAATGTTTCTAAGTGGTACCTTTTTCTTACTCAGTAGTCATTTTTCTGCAGCTAATGTAGTCGTCAGTTAGTAAATCGTTGAATACAATACTACAGCAGTTTGTGAGTGCATCGAGCTCATGCGTATAATATTGCCACTTGATAGAGTATTATCATGTATTACCGTTCGTAGATTCAATATTAGAAAAATATATTCACAAATATATTTTTCCAAATATGGGTATTTTTTTTTAATCATATCAAGCATAATAAAAAAGCTTAGTCTTTCAAACTTCTATTTCGAACTCGTTCACTGATGAAAAAAAGGTAAGCTAATGCCAAAATGTTAATACCTGAAGAGTATCTATACGTAAAAGATTAGTTTTTCTTTGTTTGTATTGTACACACGACAAACCCTGATTTTACTCTGTGATATATTCTGTCCCAGTATAGTTTCTACATTTTGCTGCATACATAATAGGGGTAAGTGTACCTATCTCCGTGGCACGTACTGAAAATTCCAACTTAAATGCACCATAAAAAATGGTATACTAAAATTTTTTGGAATATTTTTTTTTTTTAATCTTACATAATATCTTACGGAATATTAAAAAAAATTTTATGAAGCTAAAACTGCAGTAGAATATTTTTAAAACGAATAAAAACGGTATGCTGGTATTACCGTGGTTGTGTACCTATTACCGTGTACGTATTACCGCGGATAAGTATAGGGTTATGTTTACGTACGCTCACCGCGGAAATACGTACACAATCAGTTAATGAGCGCGTTGTACCGAATACCGTGGAAAATAATTATTTACTCAAAATATACACAAATATTTCTGTTTGAATTGCATCTAGATTAACGTCATTTTAGATTATTAAAATTGAAAAATTATTTTATATGAAACATTTCTTATTTTGAGCAAGTAATCATCAGTTTTTCAAAATCCACGGTAATAGGGCAGAGCACGGAGATAGGTACACTTACCCCTATATGATCCAATATGAGTAATTCAAGTAAATAATTTACATTCAAATTTTTTACAAAAGAAACGAGTACGCATTTTTTTTACTTTTTCAAGTGTAGAAAAAAGTATTTTTATTCACAACTGATGGGTTTTTTTACATCCGGTCGTCCATACATGCTAAAAAAGTGCACTTTTGAAATTATTTTTTAAATACAATTCGTAAGCTATACTATCATTCTATGCTTTCATGTAGAAATTTTTTTTCCAGATGCAATGAAAGAAACAAAGTAAATTATTCAAGCTCAAAAGTTGATACTCAAGACAAAATAAGTTCGATTTTAGCAGGATATGCACTTACTGATAAATTAGAATCTTGTTTTGATCATAATAATAATGATGCGTGTTCTGACAATAGAGCGCCAAGTTGTTAAGATTTCAGTACTGTTTTCCGCGAATTTGAACTTGAAGATACAGAAATAGGCTGCCCTGAAAATGAAAACTTCTCAATATTCTACAAAAAAAGAAAACGTACATCCTACAATTGTCGATATCAATTATTTTTTTAAACAAATCATCGAAAAGTTTGATCACCATAATAATGAGTGTGTATTTGGTGATTTGGAGATTTTCAAGGAGCTCAATCACGGTTTGTTCAAGAAATTATTTAATTAATAGATGCAGCCGATGTAATTTTGAAGATACTATTTTTACATACAAAAACGAAAAAGAAATCATAGGAATCAACGAGTCTACTGTCTTAGGTCTTTACGCCATTGGGATCGGATTTTATGTTTTTAATCAAGTGATTGCTATTATGCCTATTTAACCACCATCTCAATCATCACACTCTCAATATGATTTACAAGTCATAAAATCTATTGAGGATGCTGCATATAATGAAATGAGAAAATTAGCCGTTCAATCTCTAAAGATAGCTATAGAAAAATGAAATTTTATCGTGCATGAAGGAAAAAAATAGGCCTTATTGCTGTAGAAGAGATGGGGCATGGTCAAAGAGAACTTATAGAAAAAGAAGGTATGATTCACTCTCTGGTCTAGTAAATATCGTTGACACTTGTATAGGTAAAGTAATTGATATGGATATGTTCGAAATAAAATATGTTCGCTGTGTGATTATTATCTACGAAAAAATCAGAAGCCAAAGCCGCATAGGTGCTTCAAAAATTTTAAAAAGATTAAATGAAAATGCAAATGATAGATTACAAATAANTTTTGCATACTCGTGTACAGAGCAAACCTGCTTTTTTACACGTGCATTGTTTCGACCGACAATTTGAACGACAAGCGCAGGAAATCTGTTGAGGAAAAAAAGTGTATTGTTTATCTAGACACATATAATGAATAAAGAAATAAT